TTCGAGAATCTCATGACGTATTACCAGGGTCACGTAACTTCCGATGTCGTAACAGTACCTTAAACATTGTGTTGTACAAAATGCCCTACCTCTTAGTTACCTTCCATTCAAAGCCAAGAACAACCAGAAAAATGTACCTACATATAAGATTAAAGTCACGTTTTTGACGTTAGGAAGTTACAGAATACATTAACTCCCAAGTTGCTGACTTGTTTTATAATGCTCTCTACAAGTGAAATTCACATATTGAACTATTTCATGTTTTTGTATCGTACAATACTTCATGAAGTGAAACAAGACTTATCCAAATATCGATATTTCAGCACACTCCATAAGTTATGTGTTCGTAGAGCACCGAATAGACCAGATTAGAGCATTGGAAGAAATCCACGTAAGGAGCTAATATCAACAGCCATTTTCTAAATTGTGTAGAGTACTAGGTGTATGAAGACGTGTCCTTTGCCCATACCACCCTCCTTTGAGTGATTTGTGATAGTGACAGTCCAGTGTATGCTTCCCAAGTTTATTGATCCTGGATGAGCACTTACCATACGTTATGATGGCTTAAACGGCAACCGAACAGTGATCCATATGTTTGTCTGTGTTATTTAGCAACAAAACTATGATGATACTTTTTCTAAGTATATAATACTTCGAACATCCACAAGCGCTGGCTTCAATTCCACTTTTTAAAGATCGTTTTACGTTTTAGTTTATGCACATACTTAGCATACCGTAGACATTTCGAAGTTCTTAGCAAGCCTAAAAAAAACTTATAGATGTTAGTGACCATAATCCATATATTTTTATTAAGTTTTTCCTAGCATAGGATCTACAGATCTTCTCCCTGAGAAGGGACCATGCCTAGTTGCTAAATTCTAAATTTCATGTTTTAAAATTTCAAGTTTTAAAGTTCAGTTCAAACCCTAGTTGCCTGTTTCAAAATTAAGTTCAAGTTTACACAAATTCATTTCTAAAAACTACAAATTTCAATGATCTTTGTTTTCAGATCGCGATTTTCCTGGATCTGGATGCTTTCGTCACAGCCTTGGTCTACAGCTATGTCTCCATTATCTTATCTACTGTTGTTTGTCTACCTTCCTCTTTTTCATAGCGACTTCCACTTCTCAGCTCGCGATATTCATGGCTTTCCTGGATGCCTTGAAGCTGTACATTAGTCATGCTACTGCCTGTTAACATCTCAGGCGAGTGCCCCAAAACTACTACATTCACAGATAGACCGGGAGCCATTCTGTGTATCTGCTCTTATAAAGGGTCTTATGCAACTGAGTGTACAGAAAAGGTTTGAAAGTGGATTTGCAATGGAGTCAAATTGTGGTGTCAGTTTTTTTCTAGAAGCCATTTTCCAATATGGCCACCACTGGAATCATGATTTCACGTATTTGACCATAACGTGTGTTTTAGATAAAAAATTGATGTGACTTCCAACTCTAATCAATTGTATTTTACTTCAGGGCCCATGAAGATGCAGAACTTAATATAAAATATTGAAAATATACAGATTATATTTCAAAATGGCCGCCATTTATTTTATTTTTCATCAAGTTTGTACAGAAATCTGATTTCTAACCTCAAATTATATCAAGTAGTGGCGAAATACTATATGATAAGTAAGTAGATCTTAAATAAAAAGAGAAGTTAAAAGCTTAAACATTTAAAACACTCAGTTACTATGATTCAAAGTTGCTAAAATAAGATCTATGATTTTATACCGCAAGCCATAAGGCATTATCGGGTGACATTATAAATCATAATAATCATTGAACTTTCAGATGTAAGTGTATTTGATTGTTTTGAAATACAGCCATAATCTGACATTTAGATACAACACCATTCATAAAGTGTGTTACAACACAAAACAAAGGGATCCTTTTAAAAACAAAATGGCAACAGTGGCTTTTTGGTCATTGCTTCCAACGGACGTGATATCAACCTGAAAGACGTTCTCAGTTTTGAAATTTCTCCTGTTCCTTATACTTTGGCATATCCAGATGGCAGCTTGAGGAAAGATACTAAAAGTGTTCTATTAGGAGAGTTAGAGAAACTAGTTAATACTCCTAATAAATTACTGCCACCATAACCAGACACGAAGACAGTCCATATATTTGATAGAATGGTACAGATTGAGATGTTTGTGGATACAGGAGCACGTACTTTTAGCGAATTGGCACAGAAGCATTTTGACATGCTCACAGCCCCCCCCTCCCACCAGGGAGCGAGTGCAATAGAAAAGATATTATGTTTGATCATATCAGCATGCAAGCATCAAGAGTGGTGAAAGACTTAGAAGAGAGGCTCACTCCGCAAGAGGAATCGTTATTACAAGCACAAAGACACAAGTTCCAAAGCATTGGGCAAAATATCTTGGGAACTCTCGAAACAAGAGTAATTTATGTACTTTTCTCTGTGAGAAGTGATGTTCTTTGGGACAGAATGTGTAGGAACCTGGACAGGGGATGATCATAGGTCGTGGTTGGCCTGATGGGACTGAGGCTGTTTGTGTCACCAGTAACAACCGGGCTGTCATTGAACACTTGAGATCAGATCACTGACATTAGGATGCTTTACATGCTGGGGATGCATCTCTAAGCCACAATCGTATAGTTCGTCATTCCATGGATACTGATGTGTGTATGCTCTGTGTGTGCCTCTCCAAAGACTTCAGATGCATAGAGTTGTGGCTTTGCACTAGAGTCAAAGGCAAGCTCTGACATATACCATATCACTTGGTGGCAGATGAGATGGGAAGGGATATGTGTGTGATGCTTTACCCAGTTTCCATGCCCTCCTGGTTGTGATTCTACAAGTGCACTATGTTGTATTGGAAAAAAAAGACCCGTGTTGATAAAGATGCCAAAATGACTCTGGGCCAAGTAGGAGTCTAAGTTGAAATATCGGCAGATCTAATGACAAAGACAGTATGTGCCGACAGTATGGAGATAGCAACGTTCCAGGTGGTTTAGTGAATGAAAGACAGTACTGTCTTTTCTGCCAAAAGGGCCAGAGACATAAACACTTGCCACCAACTACAGACAGTTTGCATTTGCATATTAAATGGGCAAATTATCAGGCTCACATATGGCGAAAATCACTGACAGCAATGATCAATCCACCTGATCCTTCTTTCCACGGCTGGGAATTGGTGGAGGGTAGTTTGAGGCCAATACTCGGGAATAATCCAGCTGCTCCAATTGGTCTCCTGGAACTAGTGATGTGTATGTGCAAAAATTCCTTGTGCAAAGAAATAGGTGCTCTTGTAAAATGAACAATCTGAACTATACAGAAAGTTATGTCTGTATGGGCAGCGAACAATGTCAAAACTCTGCTAGACAGGTGGAAGAAATTTCTTACGAGGAGGATTGATCAATTGTAATACATGTTTATGTAATTTTGATGTATGCTTCATACTGATAACATGTGAATTCTAAAAGTACCAAATTTAACAAATAGTAACCATGTTCTCTCAAGCTTTTTATAATGTGTATGTTCGATGGAACGGTCATTAATGGTTTACTAAACATATAAGCTTTTGTTGGCATTTTGTTTTTAATGCGATCCCTTTCGTTTTGTGTTGTAGTATACTTTATTAATGGTTTTGTACCTAGATGTCAGATTATGGCTGTATTTTTAAACAATTAAATGCCCCCAGTGGCACAGTGGTATGTCTGGGGACTTACAACGCCAGAATCCGGGTTTCGATACCCGAGGTGGGCAGAGCACAGATAGCCATTGTGTAGCTTTGTGCTTAATTACAAACAAAACTATTGAATACACTTACAGTTTCTGAGCACCCCTGGTTATCTTCCAAGCTCTTTTGGGGCTTGCAGGATTTTCCAAACCAAGATTACTACCGAGATTAGACAGCCTCATAAATAACATAGTAGGTTATAAACTTATAGCGTGCAGTGTTCGACGCACTTTCACTTGGAGACTGTGCGATAGGTCAGAAATGCCAAAGAGAGAGAGGTATACTTAGGTGTAGTTATCTTAATTAATATAGTTCTAAGGGCTAAACTAGTTGTATACATGTATATAATCTGGCCCCCAGTGGTACAGCGGTGTGTCTGCGGACTTACAACGCTAGAAACTGGGTTTCGATACCTATGGTGGGCAGAGCACAGATAGCTCATTGTGTAGCTTTGTACTTAATTACAAACAAACAAACAAAACAAGTATATAATCTGAGAATAAAAACATCTTTGAATAGAGTGTAGGTGCTCCCCCCAGTGGCACAGCGGTATGTCTACGGACTTACAACGCTAGAGACCGGGCTTCGATGCCTGTGGTGGGCAGAGCACAGATAGCCCATTGTGTAGTTTTGTACTTAATTACAAACAAAAGAGTGTAGGTTGTGCTAGATTATATCTTCGAGAACTCCCATAATGCTCCTTCGCACTTTTGATATAAGTAACAACTCATAGTCATGCAGATGCAGGTTTAGGAGCACGAAATTGTGTTTCAAACGGTATTTTGCGTGAATAGAAGTCGTTTAATAGTCATGACGTCATCATGGCGACAACCGATGAAATGGAAGACGATCCAGTTAAATTAGATGAGCCACGTGGCGATATCAAGTCGTGTTTGTTCCAAATGATGAATACGTATGGCAGGGAGCTTTGCTTTATTCTTGCGGTTTTGTTTACAGCACTTGCAGCTCTTCATAATGGGTAATTAAATTTTGTAAGACATTCGGTCTCTGGTTCTCTCACTCTCTGTCTCATAGTCATACTCGAAGTCGTACGAATCATGTTTGACTTTGAACCATTCTCACTCTCGGGCATTAATCGTTAATGTCTGAGCCTTTCTCAGTTCCTGAATATTAGTGTAACTTATATTTTATAATATAGACCTATAGAAGTTACGGTTGATTTGAGTTTTTTTATTCTAATGTAATACCAATAGTTGTGTTTCAACTAGGCTGATTATATCACTTAAAATATATATCACTATCAGTGCAATTTTAATTTAATAATAAGTATACACATTATTATTTATTTTATTAACTCTATAGACATTAGACTTAGTTAACACTAAGTTACTAACTCGGTAATTCACTATCAATGTTACTTTGATTTTGATTTGTGAATGTAAGTTTTAAAACTTGCATTATGTGTAACCAAATCTTTGTAGATAATATTAATATTAAACTACAAAGATAAGTTGTACTTTGTACATTAGAGTCTAAATGTGTATGTTCTCTCTATCTCTATTTTTTTTTTTTGGGTGGGGTGAAGTTTGGTCCCAGTATGTACCATGCTGTATTTACTATAACCAGTGTACAATAATTTGAATAAATAATTAGGTGTTTTCATAAGGGTTTTGTAATATAGTATATCACTGTACATTTCATTTTCAGAACATGATAGCATAAAGCTTAGCTATCCATATCATAGTATATGCTTAATTCATAAGGTAGTATGATGAAATGGTTGAAATGAGAATTATTTTACTACTATTAATACTACTACTATAAGGCTATTTAAATTTAGAAATATAGGTTTTAACATTAAGAGGCAAATTTTGTAAAGCCATTTTAAATTATTAACAGTCTTGAAGTTTTGGAAACTTTTAGTACAAATGTAAGGCGATCATTTATATACTATGTACTGTATATTACTCAAAGTAGAAAGGAGCCAAACTCCACGTGACATAATATGATGTTATTTTGAGTGTATCATCTTTAGGACTTCATCAGGAACATGTACACTCTAACACAATGATGGATTCAGAATTTTACTGTATTATGATGCAGATATATCCGAGACTGAAGAAGTACCAAAATGAAATGAAGGAAACAAAAGTTAATTTTACTAGCAGAAATGCTACCCTTAGGTGGATGTTTCTGCTAATATCTACTAATCATAGTATTCATTTCTAATTTTAAAAAATGTAAAAAAGAAAAGTTAACATTTTCTGAAAAAAAGTATTTTTTCTGAGAAGTACTGCAGGTGAAAAGTGTTCAGATTGTGCTCTTTAGCCATACTTAATTTATTGCATCAAAATGATTCAATGTACAGAGTTCAAAGTTTTCATAAATTTTAATGATATAAACTGCTATCCTTTATTGAAAAAATAATAGTTTTTTAAGAACTCCAGTTTTTTAGTAATGTGTTTAAAAATAACACCAATAAAGATATAATCCAACCCTCATGTACAATCCTTTTTTTTTGCTTGAGAGATTCTTGAACCAGTTGTTTCTTTTGCTTTTTTGCTCACTCTCTCCTTTCATCATCATCTTTATACTTTTTTGGTCTTCCCATCTTGAATGGCTTTCTTTGGGTCCTCTTCTTATAAGTTTAAAACACATCTTAAGAATACAGAAAAGTCTTTAAACAATCAACATTTCATTTCTGCATCAGTATTATCAATATGTCGATGTTTAAAGACTTTTCTGTAGTTTTGGTTACACACATAGTAAGATTATAGTAAGATTCACTTAGTATTATTTTTAAAGGTTTATATTAAGTGGCACAGCGGTATGTCTGCAGATTTACAATGCTAGAAACCTGGTTTCAATACCCGTGGTGGGCAGAGAAAAAACAGCCCTTTGTGTAGCTTTGTGCTTAATTACAAACAAACTATTAAGTTGTTACATAAATATAGGAAGATTCTTAATGTTTTTAATTTAGTTTTTTCAGCATTTTGTTGTACCAGATAATGTGTACACCTATTCTCAGGATGGCTTGTGCATGAATGTTTGGTGGTTGAGAATTACATTTGAATTTTTTTGTAAGTTTTAGTGAAGTTAAGCATGAAACCATGTGATAGTGCACAATCATATTTTTACCTCGCATTGGTTTATAAGGCATGTTTTTTTTTCCTTAAGTTATTAAATTTTCAGAGAGGGTATCTAACTTTTTGAACAGATTTCAGTTAAGGGGAGAAATAGCACTTGGTGATATATAATTGTCCATAACTTTATTGCAAGCTATTTGGATCTACATGGATCAGAACTAACAAATATATTTGTAAATGATGTAACTAATGTGATATACTAGCCAGAATAAGAGAATATATTCTCATAAAAACAACAATTTGAATGTATTGATTCATCAGAGGTGATAACATACTATAGATTGACATATAGTTTTCTGTTGAATATGCTACCATATCATCAGATAGTATAGCATGTAATTTATCATATGAAATGGAAAAGATGCTATAGGTTTTACTGACTGTATTCACTTCAACTTTTAGAAAGCAGCAGTTGACAGAAGCACATTTTTACTATTAAAATTAATCAGTTAACATCTTAAACAATTTACCCACCATTTTGAAAGACATGAAAAACAAATTTAATAGTGTTTGTACTGAATCAGTAGGAAGACATGCACATGTGCGTAATGAAAAACTATTCCAGATTAAATTCACAATTAAAAGATATATATATAATAAGCTTTCTCTGCTAATTTTAGTGATATATTCAGATTTCCATTCATAGTAGTCTAATATCTTCTGAAACCTCTCTTCTAACCAATAAGTTTGTGTTTGTACATACTCAAAATGATATTGACTTTTATTTACTTTTATCACTCAATATCATCATTACATCTTTTGCTACTGTGTAGTCTCATTCTCTTTTGCATGGTATCTTTTGTGCTTTTAATGTTCTTTAATATGTGGTGGATAATTTTATTTTGTTTTTTAAATTTCATATTTTCTTTTGTGATTTTAATTCATCATGGTTATTTTTTTTAATGATTAATGTCTTAAATCATCAAGAATTGTTTTAGTGCAAGATCTAGGTGACAAATCAGATAATGTACATAATGTGAGAAGGTGCATGGAGGCATGATGTGGTGGACAAAGAACATATATTTCTGACAAGACATCTTTCATTTCTTATTCTTGCTAGTGCTTCACGTTCTTTTACTAGTAGTAGTAGCTTATGATTTTACATGTTTGATCTACAGCAGGCTATGTGCTGAGTTTAGGGCTGTGGTTCTTATTCTGTTTTTCATGGATTCCTTGGGGTAGCTGAGCATTCTAAAGAGGGTCCTTGATGGTAAACATTGAATTTCTGTGTATAGTTGAAAAAGAAAGAAAGAAGCAATATGCTATATAATATTGGGTCATCAAGAAATTTATGTTGCATTTTGGAACACTTTCATTAGCCACCCCGAAAATACATACATCACGTATAATAGTTAAATGAACTGCCTGAATGTCACGTTAGTGTAGCTTATATAATGTGTAAAGTGTAGTATAACCTAATCCCTTATGGTGATGGCACACAACGAGACACATTTGGCATGTAATGCTGTTTGAATACAAGAAGGAAAACAATGCCTCTGTAGCCATAAAGAATATCAAAGAAGTTTATGGAAATGTT